CATCATCATAAGTAAAATGACAACCTTCCTTTATTCAAAACAGAACAAAAAAAAGCAAGAAAAAATGACACACACACATTAAAAGAAATGTACTTAAGAAGGATTTAAAATTCATTTAACCAGATATAAAGCAGCAATAAAAACTATTTTGAACTTAGAAGGGTTCTTTACAGGTCTTTCCTAGGAGAAAAACCACTGATAATTAAGAAATGGAAAAGTTAAGCCTTTCGAGTTATACATGTACATATAGAAACATGAGTGGAAGTTTGGGAGAATGAGAAATGCTGTGGGAAGATGAACTGAGCAGCAAGTGTTTCCACAGCTTTTTCGAGTTCTCCCAAACTATCACAAGCGTTTCTATAACTCACTAAAAACATGGGGAACATTTTTTCTGTTTCTTTTCGAAAATACCATGACGAAAAAAAAAAAAAAAACTTGTTTACTTTGATCATCAAAATGTAAATTCTCTTTGCTCGGGCCATCATTATGTCAACATGCTACATCTCATGCTAGTTCTGTGTTTCTGTTGAGTTTTAGTGTAACTTCAAATGTCACTCCCTGATTGACTACGCTACCTACTATGTTTTTAAACAACAGAGTGTTTCTGTCGAGGAACTGTCGGCTGATAGTTGCCCCGCAGAAATTTGAGCTTCTTAAAACAAATATTTGCCCAAGAAGCAAAGCTTCGAGGGCAAATATGCCAGTTTTCAGAACATCAAATTTCCAAGGGCAACTATCAGACCGACAGTTCCAAGAGATAAACACTCTATTGTCTTTATTGTTCACCACTAAATTTTCTTCCGTGCGCCAGTTCAAAAATCATATTGAATTATTTTCAACTTTTATAGATGAAAGCTGTGACAGCCAAATGTAAAATTTGAAAAAGAAAATACACAAAAACTTACTTAATACAATTTCAAATGCTTATTTTCCATAACTCAGCTTGTTTACAGGAAAATTTTGACGGACAAGCACATCCAAGTATTTTCCTTGGACAGGCACTATGGGCTAATAGTGTCTTTCTGCGAGAACACTATCGCATCACATGATCAATTTAAACCAATAAGAATCGGAGAAAATTTAGAGGCAAACTATAATCTGTGATAGATAGTGAGTAGCGTAGCAGTGTGCCCTTGTTAACAAAATGACAGCCATTTCTTGGCGTTTTCAAAGTGTCTGTGAAGAGGATCTAGATAAAGTTTAGAATGACTAAAAACAATTAGATTATTCGCTCTTGATTTCTAAGCATGATAGTTGACTAGCCAACTATCACACAATAGAAATCTCGAGCTCATAATCTAATTGTTTGTTAGTACACAATCATGTAAATCTACTAGCATTCTATCACAAATGCCATTCTCTGATTGGCTACACTACTCACTATCTGATCTGTGATAGATAGCGAGTAGCATAGCAGTGTGCCCTGGTTGATGAAATGACGGCCACTTCTTGGTATTTTCAAAGTGATTGTGAAGAGAATTTAGATAAAGTTTTGAACTACTAGTAGATTTATACTAAAACAATAGATTATTCGCTCTTGATTTCTGTGCGTGATAGTTGTCAACTATCACGCGGTAGAAATCTTGAGCTCATAATATAATTGTTTAATAGAAACACGATTTTAAACCAATCAGCGTGCATATTTCCACTGGGCTATTTTCTAAGAAGAAATAAATAACCAAAATGTTCCTTGAATCTACTGTACATACCGTAAAAACTCGTGTATAAGCCGCACCTTTTTGCTGAAATTTTGGGCTCAAAATGGTGGGTGCGGCTTATATACGAGACCATTGCTTTCAGAGGGGGCTAATTGCCTAGTTAG